GGGAGGTCCTCGGGGGGTCCCGGGGGGGTCACTTGGGGTCATTTGGGGTCACTCAGGGGGTCTCGGGGTCCCCCCAGGGGGCGGAGCCTCAGCCTTTTGGGGGGGTGTCACCCCCGGGCTCAGCCAATCAGCGTCGGGCTCCCCCCTGCTGGCTCCGCCCCTTATGCAAATCACCCCAGAGCCGGCGGCCAATGAGCGGCCGTTATGCAAATGAGACACGCAAATGACACGGGGCTGCGTCAGCCAATCAGGAGGCAGCAGGGGGGTTGGGGGGGGCGTGGTTATGGAAATAAGACACGTTTAGGGGCGAGATTATGCAAATGAGTTTATAATTAGTTGATGGTTGGGGCGTGGTTATGCAAATGAGGAATCAGGACGTGGTTTTTTGTGTGGGCGGGGCTATGCAAATCAGCACCGGGGTAGATTGTATTTCAGAGCTGCGATTTATGCAAATTAGCAGCTAATTAGCAGCTAATTAGCAGCTAATTAGGAGCTCTCAGGGGGCGGGTTTATGCAAATGAGCTCCTATCTCACGAGGGGGAGTGGTTATGCAAATGAGCAGCGGGAAAAGGGGGCGGGCTTTGCACTCCAACCCGCTTTGACCAATCAGAGAGCCAGGATGCGGGGGGATGGGGGCGTGGCCTGCACGGAGGCCACGCCCCCCTCCCCCTGACGAGAGCGCCCCCTGCAGGCCAAGGACAGCGATGACGAGGACGAGGTGGTGACGGTGGACAGGGACCACTTCATGGACGAGTTCTTCGAGCAGGTGGGGCCCAAAATCCCCCCCCGGGACCCCCAGGGACGGGACCGGCGCCCCCCGAAACCCCCAGACCCGAAAAACTGACCCAAAACGCACCAAAACGGCCCCAAAAACCCCCAGACCCGAAAAACTGACCCAAAACGCGCCAAAACGGCCCCAAAAACCCCCAGACCCAAAAAACTGACCCAAAACGCGCCAAAACGGCCCCAAAAACCCCCAGACCTGAAAAACTGACCCAAAACGCGCCAAAACGGCCCCAAAAACCCCCAGACCCAAAAAAACTGACCCAAAACGGCCCCAAAAACTCCCAGACCCCAAAAAACTGACCCAAAACGCCCCAAAACTCCACCAAAACGGCCCCAAACCACCCCAAAAACCCCCTCCAAAATGCACCAAAACAGCCCCAAAATCCCCAGACCCCAAAACCGACCCAGAACGCCCCAAAAAATCCACCAAAATGGCCTCAAAACAGCCCCAAAACCCCCCAGACCCAAAAACTGACCCAGAATGCCCCAAAATGCCACCAAAACGCGCCAAAACGGCCCCAAAAACGCCCCAGAAAACACCCTGAAAATGCACCAAAACAGCCCCAAAA